AACTACAAGAGACATTTAGATTAACGCCCATATATAGATTTGCACACCTTATAAGACCACATATACTCAAATTTTAAATTATGAAAAGTCCCATGGGTCTTTGCTGCCTTAGCATATGTTGAATTTTCTCCAAGTCCATGGGCTGAAAAAAAAAACTAAAGAATGTGGGCAACCACACTGGCTGGTTGTTTAAATAAAACAATTTAAGTATTTGCATTTCTTWTATTACTGCATTTGGCCCGCGGCCCTCAGATTTTTTTTTTTTAATTTTGGCCCTCTCAGGGAAAATGTTTGGGCACCCCTGAGCTAAAGTACATAAGGATCATTAAGCTTTTGTTCACTTAGCATAACAGCAGCTAAAAGATAAGGGGAGTTCAGTAGCTAATAGAAATGAAAAGCAGAACATTAGCTAAAATTAGCAAAACTGTATCTAAAAGCTAAAAGAAGCAGAATGATGTTAAAAAGTAAAAAGAAAATTTTAGTTTTAAATCAGAGGAAGAACCGTGTCGTTCCGACCTCGTCTGGATCCTGAACCCTGCWGTTTCACTCTGAACACTTCAGAGCAGAAATTCACCCTTAAAACTCCGACCAGACGCTTTTATTGTGAAAGTCCCACAGCTGGAGCTACCTGAAGGTTCCTCCTRCAGGTGATTCTCCTTTAGCTCCTGGTTCCTCCTGCAGGTGAAGATCTCGTTTTATTGGAGCTAAAGGAGAATCAGCTTTAAATTTAGGATTTAAAAGCAGCTAAACTCAGACAACGAAAATAAACCAGTTTTAGTTCAAACATGTTATTTTTAAATCCTGAAACAATAAAAGTCTCACATTAAAGGACTAAACATCACCCACTGATTTTAAAACTAAAATCATTTTTTGTTCATCGTTTTGGTCAAACGTTCAGCCTTTTTGCTGATGGTGGTGGATAATAAAGTCTTTTATTTAATCTTTTTTTTTTTTCTCTGATCCTCAGAAGAATCCAGAGTTTTTGTTCAAGTATTTAATTTAAATCCAGTCAGCCTCAGGAACTCAAACACATAATAATTTTATTTGAGACAAGTTTATATATTTTAAACTCTTAAAATAAACAAGTAAAAGATTCAAACTTAGAAAAAAACCCGAAACAAACAAACCCTCTTTTTTTAAATTCTGTCTTGGCTTCATAATTTCAGCCTCGTGTTTCCAGCTGATAACATTTTACTGAGAAATGAGCGGTTCATGTATAATAGATGCTTTAAATCATCTTAAAGCATAAAAATTTTTCTTTTTTTTTCTGATCCTGCTTCTAAACTGAGGAGGAAATCGAGCCGCTGTGAAGATTTTCACATTTAAATGTAAAAAAAAAAATCAAAATAATCCACTGTAAATAAAAACTAATCTCAGGAGTCTTGTCTGTGGTTCTGCAGCATCTTGCTGAAATAAGCAAGACCATCCCTGAAAAGTGCCTCATCTAGATGAGATGTTTTATAAACTTTGACTGATGGAGCCTGTCCAGGTGTGTAAGCTATAGGCTTAATGCACCTCCATACCATCAGAGAGGCAGACTTTTAAACTGGGCTGATAACAGGCTCAATGTTTCCTTTGTTTTAGTTTGAAAGACCGTGGTTTCAGAAAACTTCATTCAAATTTAGCTTCATTTGGTAAATTTAGTTTTGACTGTCAGACAGTGGTGCATTCTGGGTAAATTGGTTCTGTTGGTTTTGATAGATATTTTTTAAGGCGACGCTTGGGGCTACTTTTTTCTTTCCCGCTGCAGTCTCAGCTGAACAATAACAATAGAAACGAAGTGACTGCTTGATGAGCTCTCAGCGGCGGACATCTTGTTCTTAAAAACAAAACGCCGATACTTCAGAGACGCACAGCCGAAGACCTGACTGTCAGAGGAGAGGAGGGGAGAGGAGAGGAGGGGAGTGGAGAGGAGAGGAGAGGAGAGAAGGGGAGAGGAGGGGAGAGAAGAGGGGAGAGGAGGGGAGAGAAGAGGAGAGGGGAGAGGAGGAGAGGAGAGGAGGGGAGAGGAGAGGATGGAAGAAGAGAGGAGAGGAGGAGAGAGAGGGGAGTGGAGAGGAGAGGAGAGGAGAGAAGGGGAGAGGAGGGGAGAGAAGAGGGGAGAGGAGGGGAGAGAAGAGGAGAGGGGAGAGGAGGAGAGGAGAGGAGGGGAGAGGAGAGGATGGAAGAAGAGAGGAGAGGAGGAGAGAGAGGGGAGTGGAGAGGAGAGGAGGAAAGGAGAGGAGAGAGGGGAGAGGAGAGGAGAGGAGAGGAGG